CCATTCAACCATTTGTTATTTAAAGGATTCATGTGGAACAGGTGCAGAGCAATATAAATAGCTTTTGATCCATTGTGCTTTTCAGAGGAAGCCAGTGACTGTGATTTCCAATGTCAGTTAGGAGATTTGGATGCTCAAATCCCATTAAAGGGGAATTGTGCATTTAAACACTAAGCAGTGGGCAGCACAGATGATCAGCACATCCACAGTTCAGGCAATAGACACTTTTTAGGTGTGGGCCTGAACCAAATTCTGGATCCAAACAACCCTGATCTTTAGGGACACCATCATCTCTGTTATAAGCTGAACCGAACCCCCAGTTCCAAGCACCCTTTGAACTTTGGAATCCTCAGGGTAGTTTAGATCAGGAGTTAAACTACATGATTTGGGCCCATCTGTGCTATATTATTTTATATTTATATTTCAATAATGTTCCCAGTCAGGATCACAGCTTCATTGTGCCAGTTGCTGTAGAAATAAGAAGAGGCAGACCCTGCCTGAAAAAGACAGTTCCAAATATTTAGCTTGCTGACATTTTGCAATGATTCTGTAAGCATGAAACGGAACACAATGCAGGTTTTAATTCAGGTTTTCTTTGCCTCTGTTTTGAACAGTTGTCAAGGAGCTATTCTAGAACTCCAGACTTCAGTATGGCTTTCCAGAATCGAGGAAGAAATAAAAATGGCTCAATACTAGGGGCTGAAAACCCTACAAATATAAAATCTTTGGGCCAAAACAGCATTCAGGTCCACAGTTTGGGCAACTCCCCAGGGAACTATGTTCTCAAAAGTCACCGCAAAACCAACAGTGGTTTCTATGACAAGAGTTTGCAAGAGTACTTCAACGAGCGGCTCATGGAGCTCAGGAACTATGAAACAAAGAAGTCTAATAGGCAGGCCAAAGGGTATCCTGATGAGAACAAGCAACCCAACAGCACCACCAGAGGCCTAAGGCGCAGAAGTAGCTGCAATGCTGTGATCCTGACAAATCACATGAAAGAGATTGAAGAATCCTGCAGTTTGGCACACCAGCCCAATGAACCAGCGCTAGAGTGTGATGACCAGAGGGAAACCCAGAGTGTCCTGGATTTTTGCAAGAGTGACTACTTGGATATTTTGACTATGAACATTAACGCTCCGTTAGAAATGTTTGTACGGAGGAAATGACATTGGAGGTGACAGCAGCCACTACCACAGCTGTGAGAAGCAAAAAGAATTACTATTGTTTGTTACTTTCCTGGCCAACGTATCTGTCTTATGTGTGAATATGTTTGTTTGTGGATAAAAGTGACATACTGTCTTATCTTTGTGCTTGATTTTGTAAGTCTTCACCATCAGTTACTGGCAGTAGGTGGCTTCAGTTGGAGAGGCTCAGCCCTCCCTCTCCCAAATCTATCAGCTCCCCATAGCTGGCAAGTCCCCATATTAGGCACTGCCAGGAGCAGGAAGGGAGCAGGAAGAGGGCCCCGCCTGTGCATGCGTGTGGCTGACATGTAATGCTTTGGTAGCTCCCATGAGAGCCAATGAGCTAGAGTGGGGAGCCTGCCTGGACCAGCCCTATGGGACAGCAGCTGTTGTTCCTCCCCACAGTGATACTCCCTTGCAGCCAGAGGGAGGGACCAGGGACCGTCAGAGACTGGGCCAAGCAAGCACCCCCCCACCCCAATTCAGACTCATGTCCCATTTGCGGGCCAGGTCTCCTGGATTATGGGCCTGCCCACGTCCTGCTCATGGCCCCGGGTGAGTGCTGGCGAGGGGGCCATGTCCTGCTTGGTCTATTAGCACCAGCCCCTTGTGGACAGTTCTCCATAGCTAGCTGTGGCTAGGGAGCACAGGGTGGGGGTCTCACGCAGGGAGGAGCACAAGGTTGGAGGCCCAGGCTTGCCAAGTTTGCAGTTGTGCCACCCATGGATGGGGCTCAGTCAGGGTGCAGCTCCACCAGGTCTGTCCTCCCCAGTGTGATAGCTTTGTCACTAAAGGAGAAAGCGGGGGAGGAATTCAAGTGGCGGGGGGGTGCTGATTCCCGCACGGCAGCTGAGGGCCCAGCCTCATGGGCTTATTTGGTTTTCTTGCCACCAGTTCACCTGCTCAATGGCAGGAGCTGGGTTCAGCCCCAAATCAGCGGTGAGCTCATGGTGGGACAGGGGCAGGCACCCCAGCAGAGCAGTGAACCAGTGGCCAAGCAGGGGGGCGTGTCTTCAGAGCCGACTGGCTTCTCCCCTTGTGCCCATGGCTTCCCGCG